GATCACAGAACAGTCATCTCCTCCACCTGCCACGAACTAAATTAAGAACCATGGGAGACCGGGCATTCTGTGTGGCTGCCCCCCCACCTCTGGAACTCCCTCCCTGAATATCTGAGAGCTCCACAATCATTGACTGACTTTAAAAAAGGCTTAAAGACTTTTCTTTTTAAGCAAGCCTATTCTGCCTCCACATGATTTTATCATTGATTTTAGTTGATTGTATCACTGATTTTAGTTGATTTTATCACAGATTTTAGTTGATTTTATCACAGATTTTAGTTGATTTTATCACAGATTTTAGTTGATTGTATCACTGATTTTAGTTGATTTTATCACAGATTTTAGTTGATTTTATCACAGATTTTAGTTGATTGTATCACTGATTTTAGTTGATTTTATCACAGATTTTAGTTGATTTTATCACAGATTTTAGTTGATTGTATCACAGATTTTAGTTGATTTTATCACAGATTTTAGTTGCACTCTGTAGCACTTTGAGATTTTTGTTAATGAAAAGTGCGTTACAAATTAAATTCATCATTATTATTATTATTAGCCACAGGATTCATCCAATGAGGATGAACGTACCATAACGTGCCTCAGCGTGAGTGTATGTGGGCGTGGTTTGGTGTAGATTGAGTAGACAGGATGGCGAACAATATTAGTGTAAACAAGGTGGATTATTGAATCAATAATCCCTTTTCCTTAATGTCTATTGAGGAAAAACTAGATGTGAAGAGGTTGGGGCCGGACAGACGAGGATATTCAAATCCAGCAAAGACAAAACCGTACTGTGTAACGTGCTGAACTTGGCTGGATATGAATTCAGCTCGGTCCAAATAATATCAAACTGCCTTTATTTTTCTTATAGTTCCCTCTGCGTTGTGTTTAATGATGACCAGAAGACGAGCGTTGAACTGAATGATGGTTCATCTGCATTGAAACAAAACGTGCACTGGTCAGAATCATCGCAGCTGCACCTCGTGCGTGTTCTCACTGAATGGAGCTGCTGCTGAACATTACACCTGGAACAAACACCTGTCTGAACTGAGCTCATACACACACAAGAGACTTCTTTCAATTGTTTTTCAAAGGTTACAAATATGATCAATTTGTAAACAGCAGTAAAATAAAACTCGCTCGGACACGTCAGCTCAGAAGTGCACGTGGGTGGAGCACGCGCTGTAGAAACAAAAATCAGCTGTTCTGACTGAAACTTCAAAATAATCTGCCACTCACGCACTCCTTCATGAAAATTAACACTAAACACTTTAAATATGGGCTCATTTAAAAACATCGTGTCTTGTGTTTCATCTCATCAGTGTGATTGTGTGAGGGAGTGTTGAAACCCTTAATGCAGGAGAATTCAGTTGACAACTCACAGAGGCTCTGCTTGATCTTTGCTTTTTCTCTGCTTGTTTTACACATGACTTTGAAGTTAAGAATGACGATGTCAATTTATTGCAGGTTTTTTTAATTGGATGCTTCTGTTGTTGGAATTCATTCTGTAACACACATATATAGATACACACATATATATATACATATATGTTGTACATATATGTATATATATATATATATATATACATATATGTTGTACATATATGTGTATATATATATATATACATATATGTTGTACATATAT